CAAAGGCACAGTGTGCCCTGTAGCGCTGGGTGGCAAAGGCACAGTGTGCCCTATAGCGCTGGGTGGCAAAGGCACAGTGTGCCCTACAGCGCTGGTGGCAAAGGCACAGTGTGCCCTGTAGCGCTGGGTGGCAAAGGCACCATGTCTCCGTGGCATCAAGGGGCTTTTCGGCCATGAGCCACAAGCTCATTGTTGTCTACACATCTGTCATCAGTTCTCATCTTACACAGTTTCAGTCAGCTGACTGAGAAGAAAGCGTGCTTGCAAACAGGACTTTAACTGAATTATAACCTGCAATATGAAGTGAAATAACATGAGAAGCAAGTCAGGCGATCCTGTTAGAGACTTCCAATCCACAAATACACATCAGGACAGAGCTAATGATTGGCGTCAGAGAGCTACTTTGTGAGGGGGAGTGCACTCCCCAAACCCCCCTGCTGTAGCTGGCCCAGGCTTCAGTACCTTCACTAAGTTGCTATAAGCATTTAGATAAAGATCTGAAAGGAGGTTTTAGGTTCTGGTCTTATAGAGGTATTGAAAAACATACTGAAATTCTGCAGTGCAGACGTTTGGTAAGGCGTACAAATTACAAAGCCATTAATCTACCTGGATAAAAGTGGCAGCTGACTAATTCTGTAATATGGCCTTACTGAGGTGAGCAGGATCGGCGGGGTGTGGGTTTGGGCTGGTACTGCTGGCACCTATTGTGAAGCGAGGGGGAGACAGACAGGAGGGTGGGCGGTGGATCCGTGTAGCAGTAGGAGGAGGAGGAGCAGGAGGAGGAGGAGGACTTCAAAGCCCAGCGATGAGGCTGCCGGGCCTCCGAGTGAACAATTACTCCCAGGATGCTCTCCCCCCATTTTTGCCCCAGGAACTCCTGCTCTTTGAATCCACCTCCCCCATCCAGATGCATGCATGTGATCCTCACGCTTAGAACGGCTCCCAAACCTCGTTTGTTTCTTATTTGATATATTTTCAATTAACCTCATTCCTAGGGTTGAATGGCATCACCTGCTTTGGTTGCTTTATGGTTGGCCTAACGAATCTAAACAATTTTTACAGAGTATATAAATGGGGGTATGTTGCTTAGGAGATGGAAAGTCGGAGGTGGGGGGAGGGGGTGTGGGAGTGGGTGCAACAAGAAATCAGAGTATTAGAGTAGAAAATTAGAGTTGAGCATCAACAGCTCTGTTCTACCATATAATACGTTGCTGTTATTTACTGTTGCATTGTCTTCATGTGCCTTAGCAAATGCTTTTTTGGAACATATTCCACTTCTGCTGTGTGGGCAGCCATGTGCACATCAAATTATTTGAAAAAACTGCCGAGTGGTGATGAGATGGTTCAGACAGGACATAATAAATGTATTTTGAGATGTTCACATTTTTTTTTTTGGCGACTTTTCTCCATAGGCCCGTGTGATGGCCACCATCGGTGTTACCAGAGGCCTTGGAGACCATGAGCTGAAGGTTCACGATTCTAACATCTACATCAAGCCCTTCCTCTCCTGCTGCCCCGAGGTACAATGCTTCCTAGCAGACCCTTAACACTAACTTATAAAACAGAAAGTCACTATGGATCAGAACTTCATAAGTGGATCGAAGGTGTTACGTTAATTCTAGAAATGTTTGCGTCGTACATTTAAGTTTCTTCTTGGAATAGGTTGATAGATCTTCAAGGCATCATCAAGGTTAATGCTAGAAAATGCTTCTAACCAATCACAAGTTAAAATTTGAATTTCCTTGACACTTTTATGTCGTCCACCGCACAGGCGTGCAGACACTTATAGAGGGGCCGGAGAAAAACTCTTAGGAAAATTCCAGAAATTTAACTAAAATTAAATTTTTTTTGGCCTAATAATTCTGCCCATATTTGGTCATTCTGGTCAATGTAGAAGCCAGTTTTTTGACTGAATATTAAAACAATGAGCTAATGCAAAACATCTTGATATTAAACTTTATTCTTTATTCATCAAAAGGTTACATTTTTTTGAAAATGTAAAAGCTTAATTTCAAATGACTACCTTTAAGTCACACTTGATGCAGATTTTTTAACTTTTCTTTTACATGATGGGTATCATCATTGTTGTAAGTGCATTTATGCTATAAACATGAAGCAGAAGTAATAATTCAGTCTGACTATAGTATCTGAATCCTTATTTGCCACAATTAATTAAATCTATTCTTGTTATCAACCTAGAAACAGTAACTGCTTTAAGTTCATAAACTTACACAAGTTTAATATACTAGCTTGGTGCTTACTCTACTTTTAGCATTTTTCACGATGAGATTTTTTGCAAGTTTAAGACCTTCATAAACGTCATTTAACTTATGTTGCCCCAAATACATGTCAGAAAATAATTGATAGTAGTATGGAGTGTATTTGCTGAAAATTAGATTTTATGTAAAATGTTAACTTTTGTATTAGAATCACTTGTATAATTCACTAAATGATGCATGTTACTTGTTCTATTTCTATTAATTTTTCAGTGAGTTCCATTTATCCAACTGGTTAAATTCAGTGTTATCAATTGGTTAAATTGAGTTGCACATATTACCTGTACAATCCAATCAAATTCAGTCTAATTGGTCAGAGACTCTCCCAGTCTATCTAAACGGGGCCCATTGAATGTATGTTTGGCTAAGCTCTGTGTATTGCCCAATCCTTTCTTTTACAAAGATTATGGAAGGAGCGAAGTTGCGACGCAAATTTAAAAAATAAAAACAACACAGTTCAGCCTTAAAATAATAATTTACAAAATATATTCACATATTTTCTGTTTTCATTCAACAAAAATGAAATATCAGAATAGCAGATTGGTGACTCATCTACGACTTTAATTTAGATTTACGACACACAAATAATGTAGTCGAGCTTCTGAACTGACTTCTGCATTTTAGTCCAACGGGCAGATATGGATGGATCACCACTGAATTGCTGTATTGGGTCCTTAGAAATATCAAGCAACTACCGTTTACAGCTAGACTCCATAAGAACACAATTCACGATGCCTCACAATCCCGTCTGTGATGCCAGAGTCTCTGGCAGAACCTCTAAAATTCGGGGAAATGTCCACAGCATGCAGGTTTTGTAGCCTTCCAACCCTTGGGGAAATCAGACCTGTTAGAGACCAGAACCGAGAACTGTAATCACTGACTTGAAATTTTCGGTGTGGAACAGGAACTCTGCCACTGCACCAAACCTATTTCCGAGTCCATATGCCTGAATAATGGGTAAACTTTACAGTCTGAGCACATGACTTGGAAGTAATATCATGTTACATGACTGAGTTGACTTCCGCCAATGTTTATTGAATGTTTGGAGTTACTTGCTACCTGTTTTGACTTTAAGCAGAACACGCGGTGTAACCCCAACTTAGGGCTGCAATACCCCAGACAGATTATGCATGTAGTGACTGTAAAAGCTTCACACAATCTCCTGTGGGGAAAAAATAACATTAAATGTAGAGGAATCACAGAAGAGACACTGCAGGAGTTGGGACAGGATGGAGGCAAGGAATGACCTTTCTTCACGATACACAAGAGAACCTGCTGCATTGCCTGCACTTTGGATGCTGAGCTGACTATGATATTATAGCTTCTCACACCAGAGAATCGAAAAAATGCAGGGTTGCACTGATCTCCAACTATTCACTCTCCTGCCTACTGAAGATCATTCTTGATCTTTAATTCATCGCAGTTTTAGTTCAGTCACGGCCGAGCACTGGCTTTTCTTCTCCCTTTCGAATACTTTTCTGCCTCTTACAAGGCCGTCTGGCGTCGAGAGATTATGTAAGTAGCCGCGTGTGTGTGAAGCACGTATAAGGCAACCGCGCTCCAAAGTGAATATATCTGTGTCAAGAGGAACCAGGGAGAGTCATCTTCTTCTTGATGTTCACCCTGTGTGCAGACTGCGGTTAGGGTTGAAGAGAGGGCCAGCTGGCTTTGGAAAATACTTTTCTACATGATTTTTCAGCACAGGTGTTCTTGGTAGTAATCCTATCTGATTCTGGATGTAAATCCATATTTCCACCTATTAGAAAATATATAGATATATATATACGGGTCCCCCACTCAATAAGCTTACGGAGATTTGGGTCATTTTCGTGGCCTTTGAGCTCCACTGCGCTCCAGCTATCGGCGTTAAATGATGCCGTTATTTGTGGGAAGGCGACGTGCATAAAATGTTGGCCTCCAGAAGAGAAACTAGAGAGCGCTGTGGCGCTAGCCGGAGTCATTACTCACACGCAAACCAGCGCTGCCAGCATAGCAGAGCGGAGGTCAGAAAGAGGGTATAATCTCCGATTTCTCTGAAGCCGCACGTCAAGCCGAGGCAGTACTGGCAGCAAGAGGGGGTCTGGGGAAATTTGTATGAGGGCTGCATAACGCAGAGGGTGGGAGGAAGAAGACGGGCCTGGTTCTGTTCTTATAAGAAATGTGAACAAAAGTCATATCACAGCCTCCCTCCTGACTTCTGCAGTAATGGCAAGGAACCCATTGCGTACAGTGGTTCACCAGCGTAGCTGCCGATTGAGTGAAAATCCAGTGCAGTCAGCAGTTTGAAAGAGGATACCATTCATTTCACAGATGGCTGTATAAATTGAAGTTTCCATTCGCCACAACTATTCATGGAACCAGTGCCACTGGCCAACCCAGAGCACTTAAGACCCACGCAGCAGAACCACAGATTGGATGCGAGGCCCAGATATAATGCTGACTTCTTGCCCCACGCTGTGAATGAGCAGGACTGCTGGCCTAAGGGGTCACCCTCTCCATCTCTCCATCCGTTTGTCCAGAGGATAAATAGCTGAAACCGATCAAAACAATACAAGCGTCCACCATCGTCTTCAGCTGGTTCTAAACTTTACCAAACATAGAGCAGTATAAGCGATAACACTGAAATTATGAAATATAAACGTTTTAGCAAAGAAAAAAATGAGTAAAGAAGTTAAGTGTGTATCCCATCTCCCCCAGGTGAAAGTGTATCCACTGACACAATATGAGCATGGAGCAGACGATGTCCTGGTACTGGGCACAGATGGCCTGTGGGATGTGCTCTCCAATGAGGAAGTAGCAGAAGCAGTTACCAGCTTCCTGGCCAACTGTGACCCGGATGACCAACACAGGCACGTATTCTGCTTGAAGCCCGTGTGCCCTACAGCTACCAGGAGTGGCCTGGCACAGTGCTGAACGAGCATTCACTTCAGTAACTTGAGAGCTGGGTTTTGTTTTATCTGCTGAAGCTCTGTGATGGATTTCACTAGCAGTGTTTTCCAACTATATGTCACATCTAGTCATTTTATGAGCTTAAACCACAGGTTTTACCGCAGCTCAGCAAAGGGATCATTTAAAGCGTCTGAAGCCCAAAGCTGGGTTGAAATTCAGTGCTCACCAGTTTCAGCAGCATTCTTCACAAGGCACTCCATCACCTAGTCCAAGGTTGTCTGTAGCTTCAGGCTTTTGAGACCTCGTGATGGACTGGCATCCCATCCAGAGTTTACCCCAACCACATACTCTGTAGGGGGCTTCAAGACCCTGACCAGGATCAATCATTAGAAGACAGATGTTCCGTGTGCATTTCTTGTCTTCAGATAACTTAGGACTAGTTTTGTTTTCTTTATCAAATGTTAACCTCTTGACATACACTTGCACCCTTCCAGGTACACAATGGCTGCCCAGGACCTAGTGATGAAGGCCCGCGGAGTGCTGAAGGACAGGGGCTGGCGTATCTCAAATGACAGACTTGGGTCTGGAGACGACATCTCCGTATACATTATCCCCCTCTTTTATGGGAACCAGCATCAGTAGATGTGTGAACTCCCTCCAGGCATAAGCATTCCCACGCCACCCCTTCCCTCAACCTGAAACTCCCCTTGTACACCTCTCAGTGCTCTACTGTAAGTGATAATCATGTTGACTCTGAAAACCCAAACCTTCCACCGTCATCCATAGGGTCACGTGCTTGAAGACTCATACAGGTTGTCGGAATGTGTGTATCAATGTACTTCATTTGCAAATGGAAGATCTCAGGATTTCCAGACGTCTTCATTGTGTGACCATCGTACGCACAAGTAGACCAGCAGTGGCCAATGCTGTGGGATTTCCTTTCCCCAATGCTACAAAGAAACCATGGATAATTTCTAGAGGCACTGCTAATCAAAGCTAATTTTAATCATTAGCTCGCTTCAGAGCTAGTGAAGAATTCTTGCAGCTGTTCTCATGTTGAAAGGGAGGTATCTCTTAAGGTTAGTAACTTTATGATGCACTAAGACAATGATGAAGGGGACGAGATGGGGTTTGGGAATCCTGGAAAGCTGAACAAGCTGAAATGGCATGTAGTTCAGTTTTTATATTTTGATACTCACCAGTTTATTGCTTATTTTGTAAAATTGAAATGTGTTGATATGTCACTTCGGAAACGCTTGGCACGAAGCTTTGCCTCGTGTGGCTTGGTGAACGAGGGTGTCTGACATACAGTATAAATGATGCATGAAATGATCCTGGATAGGAAAAGACGACTCCTTGTGCATCGTTTCTGACAGCAGTCAAGCGTAAACGTCTCTATGGCTCCAGTCGTCTACACGCAGAATTTGGCTTTGTTATTCCAGGGCTTTTCTGAAGGTGTTCAGAGAACCCTGCCAACTTTGCTCTTCAGTCCTGAAAGGTCAGCTCTGTCAAGTTTCATCAAATTCTGGGGAGTCACAGATTCACATAACGTGAGAGAGGACACATTAAGAAAGGGAATGGGCATTTCTGCACCACCTGCTTCTAGTTTGTGCGTTTTTTTTTTTTTTTAATCTTTTTCCCACAATAGTATGCAATACATATTGGACTGGAAATGACCAGTCTGGCCATCTTCTTGATACAACATTCAGAAAACATAAGGTTTTCTCCAACGCAGTCTTGTTATTGTGGTGTCGAAATACAGTACCAGTCAAAATTTTGCAGCCGGTAAGCCACCTACAAAGGAGTGTGATACAGTGTTGCATCACGTGACCTGGCCACCTGACCTAAACACAGTACAAATGGTTTTAGAGGAGTTTGACCTGAGAATGAAGGAAAAGTTGCCAATGAGACAGTAGGAAAAGCATCCCAGGAGGCAACTTCACGGAACTGGCATGGAGGAGAAAGTAGAAGCAGCCAGTCCCTGGAACAGTTGGGGTTAAGGGGCCTTGCTCAAGGGCTAAATGGTGGGATCAGTCTGCTGACCTAGAGATTTGAACTGGCAACCTTCTGAGTCCTGTGAAACCGGTTTTCAAATCTAAAATAATCTGTTTGTACATCCATGCATTGCACAAGTATTAGTTGCATTTGTCGTATTGTAGCAGGACTGACTTTACGTTATTTGGTAGTTCTGATGCCTTTGTTCTAAAATGTAGAGAATAATACAAATTAATCTTTCTATGGATAGGCGAGTCCAAACTTTTGACTGGTACTTTAAGTCTTAAATGGTTGTTTTGGAGTTAAACATACAGTAGTTGATACATTCAAGTTGAGAGTTCACAGTTGGAAATGCATTTGATATTAGGTATCCAAAAAAAAACTCCATCTGTCCTGATGTGGTTTTTCCACAAGTATCGTCTTCCGGTTTCCTGTGGGAGGTTCTTCGGACTTACAGAAGTTAATGAAATAAAGTCTCATGTTTTAGAGGTAATGGTGGAAAAAATGGCTGGTCCCTAGAAGAGTTCTGGGCAGATGATCAAATAATTTAATCAGAATCCTCTTCCAATATTTGTGAACAGAGTTTTTAAATAATGAACAATCACAAGAGGCGCCAAAGGTAAATTCTGAATTATTGAATTCTCTAAACTCCCTTGCATCTACCTCACATCTTTTATTCATTCTTTTTTCCCCCTCAGCCCAAAGAATGAAATTATAGGTTGCTGGGCCAAAGCCTATGATCGAAACTTTATCAATCCAGCTGTAAAAATTGGTTCTAGATGTAAGTTGCCTTTAAGTCAGCCTGCAGGCACCTCAGACACATGGAAGTTTTGATATCTTCTGGAATGTTCATAGATCACAGGTCAGTACTGAAAATGGAACACGTCAAGGCACGTTACCTATCCTGCTTATGTAGCTAGAACCTAAGGACCACTAAATTACCTTGTTTGATAGGTCTTAAGAAATATGTGCTAACTTTGTCGCATGGTCGTTCCCATCACTAAGGAAGATGGTACAGCTTAGGTGAAATCCGTCCGGTTTGGTACATTTTGGGACGTTTCCTACAGCCGTTAACTGCACAGTACGGTGCTCCACGCTAAGCTGGTGACTGAGCCAATTGAATAAATTGTACTAGTTGGCCCTACTGCTGTCTGCTTCTAGTCAGACTGAACAGCTCAGACTATATCCTATGCACATCGCCATTTTTATTAGGCTACAGCCAGCTGAACGCCTGTTGCAAGTCAGACCTGAAAAAACTTCCAAAGTATTAAATCAAGGATCAACATGTTTGAATTGTACCTCATCTTTAAAAAAAAGTTTAAAAAGTTGACGGTTAAGTTATGAAAGAAAAAAAAACTCAGGATTGTATGGAAATAGTTTTAAAATAGAGATTTTATATAAAATAAAACTCTGCAAGCCATGAGCATAACATCGGATATTCGGTCACTGCCGTTAAGCAAAACATTATTTTGAGCAATGTGGAGGGGGGACTATTTAAATAAAGCTTTTATGGCTTGTAAGCTGGAGGTAGCAATCATTAAGATGTATTGGTAGGTCAGGACCTTAGAGAAGGGCTCTTCTGTAATTTACAGTGTGCCAACAAGGCCATGAAAACTCCTTTATTGCAATGCACTAACATTTTAGGACAAACCTATAGTTCAGTCTGAAAATCAGGTGTTTTCACTTATTTACAGATAGTAAAATCCAGAAACACAATTAATGCATGAGCATTTGAATAACACTGTATTGTTTTAATGTTGGTTTTGTGTTGAGTGTGTATTATACGTCTTCAACTGCTGAAAGTAATACCGTCCATGATACTGTAATTCTTTGATTGCAAAGGCCCAGCAGAAACTTCTCCAAGGAGTTCTCTGTTAAAGCTGGGGACCGCAAGCCGTTTGGACCCTATTTTGATGCCTCCATTCCCCTCCCACAGTTCTCCACATTCAGCTAAAAAGATCATTTGAAATATGCCCTTTTCTTGATACACACAACTCGGATGTCTTCGGTTTTCTTCCTGGTCGGTTTAGGAACCTCTGGCCAGCTCATCTTTTTTTGTCGTTTTTTTTGCAGCTGCCGTGTCTGTGTCTGCTCCCAGTAACCCCACCATAATTGCTGTGCCATGAATAATTCCTGTAATGTTTAAGGTGCAGTATCCTTACACTGTGATAATAGTTTGGCCCACTGCTTTAAGGAAGCTCTCAGTTAGTGATGGAAGTGAGGCTTTGAGTGCCAGGGTGCCCGGGGATTACCATGCGCCACCCATCAATGCCACCCCACCCCAAGCCTCAGCTCCACCCGGCAACATGAGAGTCCTTTTAAATTCCAGATGAGTCCCTATGACTGTCATGCCTCTACCATCTCGACTGCAGATTTGTAAAGCTCATTTTCCACTCTGATGGGGGTGATCGTCATGCTCTGTGAGTGATTTAGTACGCTACACGAGGGCATTAATCAAGAAAATAGCAGCATCTCCACAATCTCCTGCAGCACAAACTCATCCTAACTTTCCTTTTTGCCATTTTTACCTTCAAAAGAGAATTCTCCTTACTCTACCTTTCAAAGCTGATTTGTTTTGTCTTTAAGTGTACTATATGTATTGATTAAAGATCTGTAAAGAGCTGTAAAGATGTTTGAATACCGAAAATGAAATTTTTTGACTGGCATCAAAGTCAAGATCTCCTGTGTTAATGTGTGATGTAAATTTTGTAACCAAAAGGAAGCGTATGAAGTCAGAGGGTATTTTTAGTGTTTTCGAAAAAAATATTTAAGTGCAATGAAATCCAGCATTTTCAGTGTCATCTTATTTTCCTTTTAAAAAATATAAATGCATTTCCTTGAAAATCTGTCATTGTGAGTTTATGATAGGTGACATGCTTCATATGTGTTGTTAAGGTGATGATTTGTGAGTTCAGTTTCCTCAGAAAAAACTTTAGAACTTGTGGATCATCAATGACCAATACAAGGGGAACCAGATTGAAATTATAATGACTAGTTTCTTGAAAGGGCAAAAGTTAAGGCCCTGGAAGGTTAACCAGTGTGGCTGATGAGTGACGTCCGTTTTATTCTCTTTTGTCACACCTCGTTCACGTGGCGGGTGCCGTTTCCGCCGCTGAAAATGCGACACCTCTGCACAGACAGCAGAGAAATGTTTGTTTTCAAGGTTGAGCGAGTCAGACACAGAAAAAAATGCCAAAGCTTAACACCATCTCCCCAAATGTCACAGCAAAAGACCCAGATATATGAAGCTATGTTTCATATATATCCAGTGGGCAATTCATGCACACATAACACACAGGTAATCCATTTCCATGTATCCATTTAATGTAGTTTTGAACTAAGTGCTGTCATCAGTTAAGTGTCTATATTGTGGAACTAGATGTTGCCACTTTAAAGTAACAGCTGGCAACTGCAAAAAAATAAATAAAAGCTAACCAGCTTATGAAAGTTAAATTGTTTTAAAGTCTCATTAGAGCACACAAACCATTCCCATGTTTGCAGTGCACCAAACACTTAAGGATGATATTTATGGTGGAGAACGAACATGAATAAACGTCCTGTTTGCTAATTAGATTAATGCTGTGTTGACTGTAATACATTTTTCCTTCAGCTTGCATAAGAACAGAACTCGCCAAAGCATCCAGAAGCTGCACCTTCAGTCACTGGAAAATGTCTTGCTGAAGATCAGGCAGCTTTAAGCTGATTTGTACAGTAGACTTCCAATAGCGATCCATCTCATTTGCCTTCCAGAAGAGAGGCCTTACAAAGTCAAGGTGACCTTTGGATCATATTTAATCTTCCATTCTAAGATGGTTTGCCTCTACACTCACCAAAGTGCTTTTTGTTTCATCTGTATGGATGGAAGAGTGTTTGACTTTGACACCTCAGGGACTGCAAGGTCAGCAGGCTCAAGGGGGGGCAGCTACTGCAACTATCTTCCTGTAGCTCTGTGAGCATCAACGCCCCAAATAGCTCTCTCGGCTCTAATCTTCGTGAGATCCATTATAAAAAACGACAGTGGTACCTTGGAACACCAACATGATTCCTTCCAGAAGGCTGGTTGAGTTGCGATTTGGTCAAGGTCCAAGTCGAATTTCCCCATAAGAAATAATGCAAATGAATTTAATCCATTCCAGACCTCCAAATGATTGCCAATTTAAACATATCTACCTACCTAATGATAAAAAGCATTAACAATCAATATAAAAGTAATACATGCATGAAAAAGCACACATACAAAAGCAATGAATATTAAATAAATCACAATCCCACACTGCAAAGCGAGATGCAGACAAACACGCACCACCTTTAAGTTTCACTATAATTTCCTTTTTATGTTCTGCAGTTACTCTCACTGCTTTCTTTTTGGTTTGCTGCTATCACTGCAAACTTTCTTAGGGGACATGATTACTGTGTCACTAAATATACTGTGGATGAAGCACAAAAAATTCAGAGATGCATTTCAATCTGAACAAGTTTTAGCAGGCCTGGTTTGTTTTTGGTCGAGTTGTAACTAGATTTTTTTCGACCAAACCGTTCAAAGTCCAAATTGGTAAAATAGAACACATCTCGACCCATACAAGTTTTTGGTTGAAAAAAATTCGGCAGACCCATTCGATGTCAGAGTTGGTCGAGTTGAGGGGCGTTTGAGTTCTTTTTCCTTTTTAATAAATGTTACTCTTATGACTGGATTTTGATATGTTTTCTATCAATATCTTCTAGTATCACTGCATGAATTTAAACATGCATCGACTACCTGATCGCCAATACCGACAGCCTGTATTTGAAGACATACTGTAGATGCAGAAATTCTCAACGTACTTGCAGAAAGACAAGGGGTGTTTTTCAATATGCGTATTATAATACTAGGAACAGAAACACAGAGGACACTAAGAATCCCCAGATGACGTTCTTGCCCCCCCCCTTAAATTTCAAGGAAGCATTGGTTGCATCCTCACCAAATGAGACCAATCCCACAATTCATTGCACCCCAAGCTCATTCTTGAGAGGCAAATTAGCAAGACCGGTCTTCGAAGACCACAAGTGCGATCTTTGGGTTCTTGGTATCGAGAAACACCCAGCCCTTCTGTTAACCACAGAAGGGAACTCGGGTTAGCTCTCTCCGTTTGGGCTTGGTGGAGAAGGGCAGAGTGTGTATCACTCACACTTGCAGCACATGAGAAGGAAATTCAGAATGCAGCACCGCAGCCCGACTGGGGGTGCAATCTGGTCAGGAACCCAACGCCAGGCAGGTCTGGCCAAGCTCTGCGCTGTTCACGCCTGTGGTCCAGATCACAGGGAGCTGGCACACATACTGCAGCCACACCAAGAGTGTGTGTGTGTCTGAGTGTGAGTGTGTGGGGGCGGAAGGCTCATCAAGGTCGCCAAGTACTTGCTGGAGGAGTGATCAAAGAGAGAGACCTGGAAGGGACAACTGCTGTACAAAATGTCACTTCCATTTTCATGGAATGCTACTGAAAGGCTCAACGCAGCATAGTAAGCAAGCAGATTGGTTCTGTGTAAAAAGCTCCCTGCTCATTTATACCTCTTCAGCTGGTTATTCAAACTATACAAAATTAAAAGTCAACCAGAAATTATGGACTCAAAGAACATATGGCTTGTAAAGCATTAATATTAAAGCTGGAGTTTCACTGACTTCAGGAACTCCCCAGAGATGTTAATATAGGAACAAAGGAAAATTAGCAAATAATAATAATAAACAGAAACATTAGCACACTCATAAAATTTAAAGCTAAAAATTGAAGGAATAATTTTCATGACTCGTTGTCACAATGTGGAACATCATTCTCACCAAATGATTTACTTTAGCTGCTGAATTAAAGCGTCATCAAGTATAGACCAAGTAAAACCATTTCAGCTTTCTTGCTTCAAATGGGCTGTTCTTCTCTATGCTAATGGAGGCAAAAAGGACTGTATAGTTAAAGGTTAAAACAGATGCAGACAATCATCTACGTGGCAATTTCAGTCTGACACGTGACCAGTCACATCATAATCGTCACTCATTTGACCTGAGTGAGAGGATGCTTTGGTGTGTCAGAATAAAAATGAGTTTTCCACTCTAGCAGCCAGTGGAGCGATCCATCCCCCAGCTCTCATGCTGTCTCCTGGATCAGCATGATGTGGGCTACCTGGCGTGCCAGAATCAGGCAGCCTCCATTCTCATAGCACATTGCACAGCTGAGGGAAATCAAAACTAATTAGCTGGAATCGATGCCCTTCCCCCAAACCCTCGCTACCGCTTTTTGTGGATGGTATGCAAATCACTGGAATTGCTTAAGTTAGGCAGCCTTAAATTTTATTTTATTAAATAAAAAAAGCTACATGCATGGTCAAATCGGATGTGTGCAAGTTTGACTTACAGCTGAAGTAAAAATCTGGGCCAGTACAATTTATCCAAAATGGGCGCTCAGCAGGCCTCTCCATCGGTCAATCTGTTATGGTTGGGATGTTCAGTGTCGACCTTTTACGACCCCCCCACTCTGCCACTAGAATTCAGTGGAATAATATGATCACACCAGTTTGGCAGTATTAATTCCAGGAAATACAGCTTTATGCTCCCAGCCTCACTAGTTATTACACGTCAGATTCACATATTACATAAAGGCATTTTTTCTTCACTTTATGCAAACCCGATGGGATAATCTGTCCTCCTCTTAGCAAAGACTGAATACCGTTAATTTCAACACACGACTAAGAAAAACCTACTTCTGCTATATGTATAAGTGTGTGTCTGTTTCCCTTGTTACTAGAGATTTTTGTCCTTACTAAGCTCATTTCCACAGAAACTTCCTTCCAGAATTTTTTAAAGTCGCGACACAAAAAGCCCTAGATGATTATCCTACGGTAAATGAATCCAATCATTGAATCAACACCAGCTGTGCAAATAAATGATAAAATGGCAAGTCATCTCCTTCATGATGCATGGCTCATCTCCGGAAAGCCCAACCCTTGCTCCACCAGAAGCGACACCACGCACCCAAAAGCACGGCCCCGCTTTCATACTTGATCCAAGACAGCTGTCCCTTCCATGAACTACTCTGTCACACTATTTTTCTTGTCACAGCAAAGAACCCTTAAATACTGGCCAGTCACTAGCAAATAAAAAAAAGCAACTAAACAGAATGTGAATCATGCACACAGTCATTTTCACTTGGGCAGATACAGCAAAATAAATTTCCTTCAGAACCCTGCTGACTTAACATTTTGGGAAGTTTACAAGCTTGTAAAGCCCTTCTGTCATTACATGTAACATAAAACCGTGTGAACCCCACCCAAGCACTCATCTCTGACAGCACACACTGATCCCATAGTTTACCACTTTGATAGCCGTTCATCCTAAATTATAATTCACAATTTATCCAGACGTAAAACCTGCTCTGCCATCCAAAACTCGCTTCCAGAAGTACACAGCAACCATCTTAAGTGTCGCCAACACAGCCTTGCGGGTCTCTGTGGGCCACGCTGAAAGCAGAGCGTATTAATAATCTGACCTGTGTTAACACAGCACCCAACACTCATTTCCATTATGCTTTCCCATTTCAAAAACACTGCGCACATTTCTGATCTGTGATTACCATTTTCCAAGACTGCCAACTTGAGTGATTTGGAAAGCTTTAACGTAACATCACACTCTGTGTATGCGTCTGGTCCTTAATTACTTAGGGGAATATGGGCAACATTCAAACAAATCAGAAAATTTTGCAATTTCCAGGCAACTCTCAGGGCCATTAAAAAATATATATATTGTGGCATGTAGGGGGGGAAACTACTTTGCATCTCTCTGAATAGCAACAGCCCCATGACCTACATGCTTGTCATATTGA